ATATTCGGTCATCATTCTATCTAATTTAAATTATTTTCTTTATTTACATTACACACATTTTTTTGTGTATATTCAAATAGTATAATAGTATACTATTAGTTTTGGTGAATGAAATTGATTTTAGGTCTTACATTTAATTTTTTTTTATTAATTTTTAATATTTTTGTTTATTATTTATTTTTTCGCATAAATGGTTTGACTTTAAGTTTTAAGTGTTCAATGCTTAAGTAATAGTTTAATATATTTTTTTCTCTCTGTCATTTCATAATCTTTATTTATGTATGAGAAAAATATTTTATTATAATATAGATAAATGAATTAAAGAGACATTTAAAATATTTTAAACTTGAATATTTCTTGTTATAATTTTTTTAAAATATTTTTTTAATTTTATTAACTTTGTTTCATTAATATTTATAAAATTAACCAATATTTTGTGTAACATTCCAAAAATATAGTATAAAATCATATCATAGAATACTCACAATTAACAATATTACAGTTCAGTTCTGAAAGAAAAATTGGTACGCTTATGGCCGAACGGCCTTACAACAACACTCCAGAATTTAAAATTTTCAAAACGAAAGACTAAACCGAACGGTTCCAAAACTATGCTTACACCGAACGGTTATACAAAATAAAACTAATTCTAACAATCGAACGGTCCTATGGTTCAACTTTAACGTTCACTTCTTCCAAAGCCTCTTCCAACAAACACTCGTCCCCTTCTGCTCACATCCACAGGATGATCATTGCAACAAGAAGAATAATCGGGCGAACAACATGACAAGACAAAAAAGTAGGGTAAGCTTATGTAATTTAATTAATCCAGTAAAACATATAATCCACACAAAATCTCAGATTTAATAAAATCAATAGGTCAATCATGCAACAACCAATCATACATTTCCAACAATAATCGAACGGTAAAACATGCAATGAACGACCACTTTACTCTGACTGTCTGGACTGTATGAATTATGTGTAGCTACGACGTTTGTGCACCTGGGTGATGTAATAGTTGGGATGCCCTCAACAGCTGTCACCCGAGGTTAGTCCGTTATATCTCGCCCAAGTTCACCTTATGGACTAGGACCTCCTGCCATTCTCACACATGATTTACTCCTCTCTACTTGAGAATGAGTAATCACAGAATATCAGAATAAACGCCAGCTAATCATAACTACATTCATACTCTACCTTTCAATAACCAATCCTGAGATATTCCTCCTTGGAATACTCCTTCATATCCATATTATTTCATTCATATCACACTTTAAATACCATCATACTTAATCATCAATACAGTCAAACCGAATCAAGAAAACAAGATCTCATCTTAGAACAGAACTGAAAGAGATAACATCAATCTTAGAAGCAAGACCGAACGAGAAAATACTTTTTAGGCTAACATAACCGAATACATAGTGTAAGACCAAGCAGTCTTTCCCTTATCCACAGAACAGGACCGAACGGTCCATACTAGGTAAGACTCATCAGAAGCCGAACACTTATGGTAATACTGAACGTCTACTCGCTACTCAACAGTTATGACCAAACGGTCTTTACTAGACAGAACTCCAAGAATGTACGGAATACTATAGAATACATATAATTAGACCTAACCGAAAATCATGAAAGCTTTTATCAGAGACCTAAGAGTTTAAACCGAACATTACAAACTAGTGTCGAACACTATTGAGCTTGGCCGAACACTCTTAATACCTAATGCAGATATATTACGAAATATATTATAAGACCGAGCGCTTAGTTCGAAACTGAGCACTGCTGAGACCGAGCGCTTGGTTTAAGCACTCTAAAATTACACAACAGGTATAAGTTGGTTAAAAACACTAACATACGAAAATGCTTATTTATGAAATGGGAAAAATAATTATAGGATCAAAGACTTACATTATCTGTAGAGTAACCTAACTAGACTGACTATTAAATGAAAATAGAAAACTTTTAATTGATAAAACTCTTAAATTTCAATTATACTCAATAGATCACCGATCGGTCATTGACTGAAATTCTCTCTACAAAAGGAGAATTCAGTCCAGACCGAATACCTAATGGAAAACCGAACAGTCAAGAGTGACTTTCTGAGACAATTACAAAATACTGCATATTTAAGCTCAGACCCTATTCATACCCATTTCGCACCATGTATAAACCATCACTCACATACATACAATCATACAACAACATTAATACTTCATATCAACCAAATAACTAAACAAAACATCATACAAACATGTCAACATTCAAAACATATAATCATAATTAAATTACAAGCTTCCCTTACCTCTAAACTCAGCCGAACGCTCACGATTGCAGTATATGACTCACCACTACCAAATCTTATACACTTAGAGTTTCCCGATTTACGAAGCTAGACCAAATAAAAGACCAGAATTGCTATCATAATTTCATAGAAGAAGATGATAAACTCATGCAACCAAAAACTTGGCTTGCATGTGGCAGAAAACAACCGTTCTAAAGAGAGAATGAACTTACCAGTTCAAACTAACACTTGATCAGTGCAATCAAAAACTCTTGACACCAGGAGAACTCAGATGTGGCCTAATTGTTGATCAGAAGAAGAAAAATATGAGAATTTGTAGAGAGAAGAATGAGAATTGTAGAGAGAATGAGGAGAAAAACTCAGAAAGTTTGGATAGAGAAGATGCATGCAGAAGTGGCTCAAAATTTTGAAAATTTTTCTTATATACTACCGTCAACAAATCGATCGGCCACTCAGCTCTGCACACCTGTCTTCCACTTTCTAAATTTTTAAACCCTTTGGCTTCCACTAATTACTGATTTTAATGGCCCTGACATTTTGGCTCTTATGATATTTTATTTATTTGTAATTGTGAAATATTTTATATAATTTTTTTACTTTTATTCAATTTTTATTTGATTTTATAATTTAAAATTTGATGGAGATAGGCTAAAAAAAAGGTAAATACCAAATCTTCCAAAGAAAACAAAAATTAAAGATTAAGTCATTTTTTTTAGATATGAGATGATTAACTAGTGAATTTTTTTATTTTGAGGAATTTGTTTTTTTAGTATTGGAGTTTAAAGTATGAAATGATTTTCACAATGGAAATAATGATTTTTTTTTCGTGGTTCCTCCATTTTTTTCTTTTTTATTTTTTTTTATTTAATAAAAATTTTATGTAATGATAATTATGTCTAACATGAGCTTATTAAAAAAAATATTACACCATAATAAATATAATTATTAGCATAACATCACACAAATCTCATTAAATTTGATAATTAGCATACATATACACAAATAATAAATTAAATATCACATATTTTTTCAATTAGCTTTATTTGTCAATGAGTTATCATTTTTACATTTTTTTATCAACCTCTACTTATAAACAGAATGCATCCTTCCATAGAGTTTCTAGTGGATCTCATATACTCACTTTTACTTTTTTATATTTTATGAACTCTTATTAATTTAAGTTTCAGATTATCTTTTGTAGGGATTTTTCTTTATTCCGTAATAAGATGTATAGGGACAATTACCCAAATTCTCTATACAGACAAAAGACTTATTAGATTGTATTAACAATTTTTTTATAATATTTTTATGCTGATATTTGAAGTAAGAATTTAATAACTTTTAGCTTGAAAATTAACATATTTTAATGGAATCGTCTCCTTTATAAAATGTGTACTATGCAACCTCTCGTATGTAAGAACAAAACATTTGACGGTATTTTTTCACGACTGAAATCACAATTTTAACTAAATCGATCAAACTACGTTAATAATAATTATAATTATTATAATGGAGAGAAAACATTTAATGCAAATAAATGCAAAAGTAGTAACCGATTATATCTAGACATCCGTTAACTTTTGCTTAGACGTTAAAAAACACGTCATCGATTGTGTTGTTAAAGGATGACTAATTGAGGAGAGGAAAATTAATTTATATTAGAATCTTTACTTTCTGTAAGTTTTAAATAAGTTGTATCACAAATCTTAAAATTCATAGGATTTTAAACTATTTTTAAAGGTATAGATAATTTATTAAATTTGTTTATGTTGGAATATTTACTTTTTAGTCATTTCATTTGTAATATTAAATTTGTTAAAGGTATAGATGTCATTTCATTTAATTGTTAACATGATTAAATAATTTGTACTAAATTTTCATATAAAGGTGATCTATCTGAAAAAAAAAAATCAATGTTGTTAACTATTGTCCTCTTAAGAAATTATGCAGATATTTTTAGAATCATGTTAAAAGATTAAAAAAAAACACGTCTCACATAATCTCTTTAAATTTTTAAAAAAATGTTATTAAGACATGATTTCACAAATAAAGAAGTAAAAATTAAGTTAGAGCAGAAGTTAGAAACTGACACCTGTAAACACTGCAGATATTTATGTACGTGAAGGATTGGGATCACGTGAAAGGTTGGAAGGCGGTTTCCTACCTGAACCGCCTACCAATCCATCATTCAAAAAATTTCCGACACGTGTCCAAAAGAAGGGTGATCAAGCATACGCAAACCCCACTGGGTAACCTGTAACCCAACCAGCCGGTAAAGGGCGGTTCAATCCGGCACACGCCATTCATAAAATAATTCAAAATCCCAACCCCTACAGCTCTATAAATAACCATTTCTGCCCCTTCTATCTCCACCTTCAACTGTAAAAAGAAAAAGAAAACTTCTCGTTTTCTTTCTCTGACGCTATAACGTGTTTCGTTTTCTCTCTAGAAATGGGAACAGCTATCCTCCGTTCCCACGATTGCCTCCAAGGTCGCTTTCTCCCTAATGAAGCCTTCGCCATAGCTACGTCACGCGTAGCGTCGCGAAGAAACTCTAACCCTAATAACAACCATGCCTTCGCCTCCTCCGCCAATCAAATACGCCGCCGGAAGCGGAGTCCGGTCATTGATCGAGATCGCCATCGATCCTCCGACCGATCGACGGAGAATTCTCCGTCCTCGGCGAACCTCGTCATGGGACAAGTTAAGATCCTGAAGCGGGGCGAGAATTTGAGCCTGCTGAACAATCATACCGAGGTTAGATCGAAGAGGGAGACGGGCCTGGATTTGTTACTGGGCTCCACGGTCCGATTGGGGCCCGATCCTTTAACCGTGAAGAAGCAGATTAGGGTTTCGGATCCGAACAACGGCGTGTACGCGGGATCGGCGTTCGTTTCGTCGCCGCATCCGAGTTCCGTTCCGGTGCCGGGATTTTTAGGACGTAACGGCGCGGCCACCAGTGATTTGCGGCGGTTGCTGCGACTCGATTTGGAATGATTAGTTCGATGATTTCGGTGTTTGCTTAATATTTGTCTTCTACTTTGGAATGATTAGTTGGTGTATGATGATTGCCCGTATGGTATCTGATGCGCTTCCTTTATTTTTTCAAGAGGATAGCCGCAGGGTTCGGGCACGTGAAGAAGAAGCGGAGAAAGCAACGCGTGAAGGTGGTAGGAAGGATATTTGTGCTACAGTTTCTGAAAGGGGTTAGTTAGTTAGGTAGTGTCGCCGTTAGTTTTAACTCTGTTAAAGGTAAAAGGGGTTGGGTAGAAGAAATGAGAATGTTGGTCTCATATATGGGAATCCTGAATATGTAGTTAATGGGGGTTTCGTTTGATAGAAGCAAGTTTGATGTTTGTTCTGTGTTTGTTTGTGTTTTTAGGGGGTGTTTGTGTGATGCTCTTATTATGATACTGATACAGTAGCTGTGAAACTTATGTTAGTAATGAAACGAAGTTCCTAGTATTAGTGTGTCTTTTTCTCTTGTGGCTAGTGGAATTGGACATTTGATTGAAAACATTTGTGCCCGTTTTTTACTTGATTTGATGGTTTCGGTGCAGATCAGTGCTGTGAAGTGGCGTCAAGGAAACTCGGGGTGAAGTGCTCTGTCTCTGATTAAATGTTATATTACATGTTTTGATTTCATGGGGAGTTTAGTGAGTCTAACTGGGGTGATGTCTTTTTGGGATTACAGTAAGATCTGTTTTATATGTTGATTTTATTTCACAAACACGCATTTTCAATTTAGTAACCTGAAGGGGAAATTACTTTACTTTTTTCTGTTGTTAGATCTCGAGGAAAACCTAACAAAATGTTTGAACACAGTGCCGAAAACCCTTGGATTGTTCTCCGCCATTTTGTCCGTGTAGAGAAAATTTGTTTACTTTCATTTGTAGGTGTCTTAAGGTAGAATTGTCAGTTTGATCTTGAGCTTCTGCACAATTACATGTCACAAATTATAATTGAAGTTCCATTGTTCCCCACTTAACATAGGGAGACTTGAAAGCCGCATAACTCAGTTAATGAAGCTAATTAGGGGGTTAGGACGGCTTTAAAAACTTAGCCCACAACCTATGTAAATGTTCAAATAATCTTCTAAACCAAGTTATTCGAGAATTGAAGTGTTGAATCAAATGAAGTTTTCTTTTTCTTTGTGCACCACAGTTGACTATATTTTATTAGGCTAAAATCACTTCTCTCGGTCAATTTCATGTTGCATATTTTTTGCGATTTATTTACAGTGACTAATTCACTGTATTGTTTTAAGAATTTACAGTTCATTGTTTATATGTTGTTCATCTGTTAACTTGCGCTGTCTGAAAGGTAATTGCTACATTGGAAATATACCTTTTAGCTGAGTATTCTTATTACTCTGATCATGATGATGATGCTATTGTTGTCTCCAAAATTCCATTTTTAGTTTTTTAGTAGTTTAATTATTCTTCTCTAAATAATTTTATTTAAAATTTTTTTCTTGTTTATTAATGCTTTCCCAGAAGCTAAGCTTAAAAGTAAAAAGTTTTAATTATAGAAAGAAACTTTTGGGATAGATTTATTCAGATGTAACACTATTCCAAAATAATAAATCTCATCCGAAATAGTACAAATTAATTTAGAAACGGATATTCTTATAACATTTAATTCTAGGATGGAGGTTCTATTACTTCTAAAAAAAATGGATTAGTCCAAAATTTTAAATAAATATAAAAATTAATATAAAAATACATAATTATTTTGAAGGTCGCATCAATTTTACTATCTTACAAGACTAGTTGAATGGGCGAGACTTTAGAAAACAAATTATGGAATTGGCTTCTTTGCCACCCCACATTACAACCTCCACAACCTGTCTTGTGTTTTTGCGTTGGTGGAGTCATGAGGTTGGTGTTCCCGCAAACAATTCCTTAGGCACCCACCATTCATTACATTGCAGAAGGGTGAAGTCGGAGAGTGCGGTGAAAGTATATAAGGAGAGGATAGTCTGTGGGGGTCCATGAAAATGAGCAGGTGCATTAAAATGCATAGTAAGCACTAGAGAAATTTTCGTATCTATGGTGTAGAAAGTAAGAGAACAAAATATGGGATTGCAAAAAAGAAATCCCCGTGATTTGAAGTTGGGAAAGATATAACCATGGTATATGATAAATTGTTCCCACCACCATCTTACAAATTTTTCCTTTTTATATGGTCACGAATTAGGGAAATAGATGGGATGTTTTTCTTTTTTTCAGATTGTCAAGCTTCTGATTGCTTATGTTGATTTAATCCACAGATAGGAACGAAAATTGGAGAACAAAGGAAAATAGAGAGGGAAGAATTGGCTACATTCATCTTTAACAGTTTATTTTCAGATCTAGAAATACAAACTACTTTCTGTAATGAACACACAAACTTATCAGCGTCGAGTAAAGTTCAGCTTTGGGAAAT